ATACACGCGATACATACAACCAATGTACGAAGCCGAGTTGTGTAATGCACTTACCGGCGACCTAACTCGCAATTTTCTATTTAAATTATAACTCGATGCCGATAATAGCCGTGGAAAGTACATATTTAATATCCGTGGAACTCCGGTCTTTATAAAAATACATAAAGCCGCGGCAAATTTTCCTCGAATACGGGAAATGGTATTAGGGTGACCGAAAGGTAATCAAAATTGTATCAACATTTATTTACTAAAGAAATCTTAAACACTAATCAACAAAATAATTTCCATCATTGTCCAACAGTTTTTGCCAGCGTAAAACTTTTCCAAGTCGAAGACATTCTGATTACTTTTCGATCCCCCTAATATTTAATAGACTCGGGACCAGGATACGCGTGACTCGCTCGGTCACGCTTTATTCTGAAAACAAACCAATGAAAGGAAATTACAATTTCCGTGATCGAACCAAAAGCGTACCTTCGCGATAGCGTGTCCGTATCGGTCGCGCAGCTTGTCTTCCCCGCATACATCACTTCAAACCGGTATTTCCGCGGGGGATCATAACAACGGTCCAGGCGTAAGAACGACCGTGTCACGGTTGCAACCCTTCGAATTACATATGCACGGTTGTCGAAGTCGTTGGTAAGAGTCGCGAGGTCTTGGATCGCGTCACATAAATCGAACGATATGAGCCTGCTCACCAATTAGGGTGGCCTTTAGTGCCGGAATAAAAACCGAGCACGCTTGGTGGCGATCCCCTCGCTACCATGCAGATTCGCCTAACGAACGCCGATTCCACGTACCTCGATACCAACGAGTTACACGGAACCGAGCGCAACCGAACGGACCAACCTCTGTCTCTTGCTCTATACTCGCTTACGTGCACATAATGCATACGGTGCATCCGAGCTGCGACGCAACGGACACCTCCGCCTATCGCGGCCGATCGAGAGATTCACAAGCGTGGCGAACGAAAGGTGGCGCGCTTATTACCAACCCGGTGGTATATCTCATCTCGCGAAGGTTAAACGTTCCTGTTGCGACCAGACTGAATTGCGAATGACAAGTAAACCACAATCCGAGCTTACACGCTTAAATATCACGATATTGATTTTATATAAGGTATGCGTTTTCGGAGAACACCTTGTTTCAAACAAGCAGTTTGAGCAGAATGCGGTTTAACCGGTAAAGATTACCCGTGTCCCGCTAAAGGTGATATTTCACCCGATATTTTATCTTTAGATTAACGACTCCGTGCGCTCGGTGCATAATACATTCAGCTGCATTCGCGTTGCAGCGCCACTGATATCTACGTATCGCATTCGATCGCGAGAGTTATACCAAGGAAAGGTGTGTTACGTTCATTGTGTACATTGAACACGTTCAGGAAGAACTTGCATTTGGAAAAGGATGTGTAACTTATTATATACGTTACAGTCGATAAAATGAAAGGTTCCGGCGGTGGAAGATACATTGACCTTAGACGTGGCGATCGAAGGAAACTAAAGTTGAAGAAAAGATACCCTCGAACATTAATACCCGTGATTCGATATTTAGAACGACTTTCCACGAGGACTATAACACTCACATTTTTTATTTGTTATCGTTACTCAAAGATTTGCGTTTCAATTAACACCAGAATATTAATATGTGCTGATACGCTTCTTTTATGTGCGTATGATTTTAGGTACACGTTTGTTACATAATCGCTTGTATCTGTTAAATGCCAATATGTTTGCAACTTCGTTTAACAGTTAAAATTTCGTTGACTTATTCGTGGAAGCCATCAGTTTCATGTTTAATTCGTTTGCTATCTAGACGAGAACTTTTCCTACCTTTGCAGCACTCTATTGGCAAAAAACACTCTACCTTACATTTAAATATTTCATCGGACGAGGACTACGTGCTAAATCGCGATATTTAAGACGTCTGAAATTCAGAACCGTCTCGAAGGAAAAGAGAGACTTATCGTAGACGACGTCGAGGAGAAAGGAGTTATAAAAGTGTGTATTTCCCTCGCGAATAGTCCACTTTGTGCTGTCATACGCTCCCATAACCTTCCGTGACAAGCTCGTTGAATATCCGACGAAGTTTCTAAAGTTCTCCTGAAATTAGAGACCGATATCTTACATCGTAACTACACGTTTCAATACTAACACTACGAATCCACGATCAAACCAAGAAAAAAAACGACAAGTACACGCAGTAAGTTCGAAAATTGCCATCTTTCCGACCAGCAAATCAAAGATTCGACAGAGAGAGAAAAAATACCGTCGCCTCTGTAATTTTCGAGGAACCGTTTTCAAAATGGCATCTTATCGCTACGATAAACAGACTTTCCCGAGTTTTCTCACAAACCTCCAGCGGTGCCGATACTTTTATTCGTCACTGTGTATCGACCCCTTCAAAAATTGACGCGTGGAAACAACAGGAAAGGAAAAGCATCGCGAATTTCTTCGGTCGCACCCTTCAGGACCCGCGCGGCCAGGGGGTGGCGGTGAGGTTGAATTGGTTCGAACGGATACGCGAAGCGTGATCCACGAGCGCTTCGGACACACTCACGTGCAATACACGCGACACTCGTCGTGTCGTAACGTACTGCACACCAACGCGATAAGAGAGAAGAAGAAAGAGAGACATTTTCTTGGGAGAAGCGGGGGAGTTTCGAGTCTGATAAAGGAGGGGGATGAAAGGAGACGAAATGGGTGGAGAACAAGGAAATCGAAGGGGATGAGAGAGAGCCGGGAGAAGGAAAAGAGAGTATGCGAAAGACTCGCATAACGATCCCGTTTAAGAATCCCTCCTCAACCCTCCCGCGACCAGGGGCGTTCCTAAAGTACTTGCCGCTCGGGTGCCATTTCAAATTTGCTGCTCTCCCCCTCTTGCCAAAAATTATTCCATTCGATTATACTTATTTATTTGAATATGTGTCTTTGGCAAACGAGTATGTAAGATAATGAAAGGTGTAAAATATGTAACTTGAATGCTAGTAATAATAACAAGGGGTAGCGTAACTCTAGACGAAAAAATGAAAAATTTAACTAAGGCTACGATGAAATACTGTGCATTTAAATATTGCGCTAATTAAACTTAAATTGCACGATGCTAAAATCCCTGGAATCGTCAGATCCTCGGTGATATTACTAAATTATAGACAAATATTTCCGAAATTGATACAATTCAAATATTATTCGTTCCTTTCATTAATTCGCAAACGTGGCTGGAGCTTAAATGCACAGTATACATATCGCCACGGCACGAGTTAGATCGAACTTGGAATAAGACTATCTTCTTAAAGTTTTCCAATAATTCTTTTAATTTATTAAACAACATTAATAAACGCTTTCTGCCTCTGCCACCCTCCGGATAGCGTCTGTCCGCGAAGAACCTTTAACCCTCCCCTCTTCCCGCTTAACTCGTAGCGAAGCCGGGCGAAATAACAGGCACTCGTGCTGTACTCGCCATCCACCCCCGCCACACCTCCGCCTCTACCACCTCCACGCTCGGAGGACAGCATTTGCAAAACTCCGACGTGTATAATAATAATTACTGGCCGCGGATACTCCTATCCACCCTTTCTCCCCGTGACCCTCTCTCGCCGCCACCGCTTGGACAGATGGCGTGGCCTCCCCTCCAGGAATCGTGGACAGGGTGGTCCGTGGTCCACGCCTACCCAGCATCCCCAGCTCCGAGCGACGTCTGCCTTCCCCTCTTCTCGTTTTCTCGTCCCTCTCTTGCATCCCCCTCGGAACTTCTCCAATCTCTCACACTCGCGCTCTCGATACACCCAGAGCCGAGGGAACGCTCCGCAGGAGAGAAAAGCCGGCTAACGAGAAGCCTGGGCACGGGCAGGGGGGAATGCTAAATAGACGTTATGCTCCTCTCTGTCTCCTCCATTTTCGCTCCCCCTCGTTTTCCTTTCCTTCGAGACACCGTCCTCCCCTCTTTCCCCTTCTTTCCTCGCTTCTCTCTCTTTCCCTCCGTCGTCGATTCCGCCCCACCACCGCGACCATCCCCCACCGCGAGACGCGATTTCTCGTGAAATAAGCTCGCGAATCCCCCCACCAGCCGGTGTATAAACACACGAGGGTCGACGGAAAGGACCGAACCAGTCCGAGAATTCTTTACATTGTCGCTACGAACGCACACCTTATAGCTGCGCGTCGCGTCGTTACCCTCTTCGTTTGTGTACCATTGTACGTACGTGTTTCCTTCTCTTCCTCGTGCTCTCGTACGCGGACCCAAAGCGTCGATTGTATAATCGCGGCAAGAGAAAGAAAAGGAAAGGGAACCCGCCGAGGGAGGATGAGGAGCGATGATATCGAAACGAAAGACCTCCTCCGCTTCCTCGACCGCTTTCTTTCGCATAGTCCTGAGACTTTTTAGACAATTCTTCTTTTTCGTACTCCCTGATGACGACGGGGTCGGGAAAAACCGCGGCTCTAGACGCGGAGCATATAACGCTTGTCAAAATTTTGCACTTTGTTAATATACGGGGGTCGCAATTATATTTACCACGGTGGAAATATTTCAACCCCTTGGTTACACTGACGTCACCATCGCCGCATATGTAACATGCTCCACAGCTTGGAATTTTATCTATATGGTAACGCAAACCGAGATGATGGAATAAATGAGATTTAAATTATGCTTATAAATGTTTGCGCGAGGGTTCAAGTACCAGATAGAAAAGTGTCCAATAACACTTGAGTATTAACGATTTATATTGCAGTCAACTTTTGTGAAAGTTGATTTAGGAAGTATCGCGTGAACAATTTGCAATACAAAAATATCTAGAAAATCAACGAGGGTAACTCGTCGCATTACAAATGTTTACAACGAGCAATCGACATACACGTGCTCCAAAATGAAAAGTTTCGCAGTCGATTAGAATTTTTAAGCGTGCCGGGGAGCCCCTCCGTGAAAGTTTGCGTATCACCCGTAAAATTGTTCAAACTTTCGCGATCCCCTTGCTCCTTACCAATTCAAAATACATTTTTCAGGGTGGCAGACATTGATTGAGTACAGCCAAGGAAAGTAATATCTCTAGAATTCACCGAGTCGAACTCGAAGATTTTAAACGTAACGTTGGATGCCACGATAATAGTTCACTGTTCTCCCATACTTTGGTCGTTTTCGTGATTAGATAACGAGTAACAATCGAAGTGCATTTCGTGAGTATGTTAAAGATAAAACAGCTTATCGTAATCGTAGTCAGAGTTTGTAGCGAACTTGTAGTAAACACGTAATGCTAGTCAAAGTAATCCACTCTTACGATAGAGACGTAAAGTGAATAATTATCCCAATTTTTATTAATTTCCGCCATTAATTCGTTAGTACCTCGCTTTATATGACACGCAACGCTATTAGGTTATTCCATTTACGACGTAAACGATACGTTTTAGCGAGTTTCACGCGTAGAAGCGACAAAACATATTCATTTGCTAGAAACATGAGTGCTAGAAAAGTGTAGTATTGCTTGTTTAAAAAATTTCAAATGAAAACGATGAAAGAGTGTATTCGACATGGTAGGTATGCTACACGAAGTGAACTGTGTTTACTATAAACACATCAAACATTAATGTAAATTCGAAACACCCATGGAATTGGCCGAAGACATTTTATAAACTAACCGAAGCAAACCTGTAGCGCAATCGTTAAATAACTGCCACGAAAAACTTAACCCGACTCGTTCTGCTATCCATTGTCATTTGAGAAATACTGAAAAGACTGTGAATATGCTCGATGAGCACCGCACGAACTGTCAGCAGTCAGCCATCAGCGAAAGATGTATGTTCGCTCGGTTCTCTTCAGTTTAAAAAATGAACTGTTTCTGAACCGAATTGATACCAGGAATGAAAAATAAGTATTATACAGAGAACTTCTCTACGAAGATCCATTGAGAAGTTTCATCCCATGTCGACCTTATTACAAACAGAAAGGTAAATAAGTGATTAGAGAACAAAAATTTGGTTCTACGTGAGATCTTGCTCCAAGTCACACCTCGATAGTCTGCAAAGAAAAGATGAGAAATGAATATAATAAGAGAAAATGACCGATACCGTACATAGCAATATTAAATTGCAAAAAGAGACGTGAAAAAAAAAAGATTTGCACAAGAATAAGCAATACGAGTAATCCGTTTATCATTTTGAAGAAGTTCGAAAAATCGATCTCGAACAGCCGAAGATGTCGAACGTGTCCCGAGAAGGGGAAAGAAAGATGACGTTGGAAAAAAGGAAGAGAAAGGTCAGGACATCGCGTTGCTCGTTCAGAACGGCAAACGAAGGTAAAGATGACTGGATAGATTCCTTAAGCGTTGCTCCAATCAGATCCCATGTCACTCGGTTCATTAATCCATTCAGGGTGGACTCTGAAAAGTCCCACGTTGTATTACAGAGTTACACTCGTCCGAATGTAACGACGTGAATATATGTATAATGGCGTTCGGAACACGAAGAATCTCGAGCGTGACGAGATTCAATCAAATTATAATTGTACCGCGTCGATGTACCTTTTAAAACGGTTCGCGTTGAATCAAAGTTTGCATCTATAAATACACGCTTGTTACTTTCTCGACGTAACTGTATTAACACGTCGAAAGCCGGATACACGCATTGCTCGCATAGCTCGTAGACTGACTCATAGATTTTGTCCACATGTTCCTAGATGTTGACTCGTAACACGTTATCTCTTTACATTTAATTCTTTTTATTAAACTTTCTCGTTTCTGTTGGATAAACCTTTTTAAAATCGGACTTCGCGTTAATGTGTACGTAATATTAGATACAAATTTTGTTTATCTCTGCATGGGATGTCCTAATAGTTGCAGCTTTTCGAATGCAAGTATCTGATGCGACCTAGAAAACAATCCTGTAGGTAGCGATTCGTAAATTATTTGGCTAATTATATTTCCATTAGGTTGTCCCGAAAGTTTCTTTCGCGAGTTGCACTCAATTATTTTATGTGATCGTGTTTCTATAAATAGACAATCTAATTTCATAGATATTCATGTTGTAACAGTAATGGAGCAAAATGAATCGTGCAGAATTCAGTAATGTAACATAAAACATAAACTATCGCGCATGTATTACTTATTAATAAAGCGAAAGAAACTTTTGGGACAACCTAATACAAGACAATTAACCAAATATTTAAATTAATTCTTAAAATAATTACATTCAAAGTGTTGCATTAGAAAATACTATTTTAAATGCTTGTTACTACAGTAGTTCATTATGGCACCGCTAGATAGTACTATAAAGTGTCACGGTTAATTGGCCGGTAATTTAGCAGCTGTAAGTTGGTGAAACAAGTAGAATATACATTTTACCGGTAAAATCGAATCGCTACCTATAGGCAGACGCGTATCGTGTCGATGTCATTAGGTGTGTTTTTTGTAATGGCCAAGCGTACCTTCAATTATTTGCGCGACCGCTATCAGAGGGGAGAGAGAGAGGACAAATCAAAGGAAGAATGGGGAAAGAGAAAAAGAAGAGGATAGGTGTATCGAGAGCTCGCGCGGTAATCCAGCAGAAAGCAGCACGGTTGAAACGGAAGATTTGCAAACAATAGGTCCGAAGCGGGGTGGATTCTTTAGATGGCGGCTTGATACGCATCGCATTTACATATTATTGCTATTATTAGGTAAACGGTCCTTCGAGCGCCTCTTTAACACTACGCGCTCGCCCTTCTAGATATTTTACGAGCGACCGCGAGAGGCCCCCACCGATAAAAGCCGAGGTTGCAACAGCGCCGTCTATCGGTAGACAAAAATTGAACCACCACCCGGACCGAGTAGGTGGCTGGAATTGTAAATAATCCCTCGAATCGCTGGAAAAAGATACTTATCGGGTTTACGCTCGGTAACATTCTATCCCCGTCGACTGCCTCTTCGCTTTTTGCACCGCGCGGTCCGCTCGTCAAACGCCAAAAATACCTTCAATCGCCCACTCGGTATTTTAACACTTTACCGACCGGTAGCCTATTAATAGGCTCTTTGTTGCCGACGCTTACCGACCGACACTTGTGAATCGGTTTTTATGGTAATCGATGCTTTGTTAAAATGACATTACATTCAATTACGAATATAAGAATTAAGTAAAGTGTTAAGAAAACAATATCCGTTGACTTCGGTATATGACCGAATTTCGGTATATCAAAGTAAAGTTTATCACGATCACGCGATACCTATTCGTTTTGTCTATTTCTAGCCTTCCTATTTTACAAATATCTGTCCTTCGTTTTAAAAATCGAACAAATCTCCGTTTCGATTTAAAAATCTGTTGGCGGCGGTTAGATCGCGTAAGATCGACTTTTTAAAGCTGGCAACGCTGGATACGCGGGGCATCAGAGCTCTCTAGACCGCGTGACGCCGGGGTCGAAATTAAAGATGCGGCTTCGGAAGGTACGGGGCCCCCGACGAAGTCGAGGAAGGCAAAAAGAAGGAAGGCGAAGAAGGGATCGGAATCGCTCGATAAAACAGGGCGACGTTGGAACCACCGATGGGCCCGGAACGATTCGAAGGGGAGAAACATTGGGCCCGGGGTGGAAGGGGGAGGAACCGAGTACGTACACACAATGGGGTCCAAGAAGAGAAGCCGAGAGCAAAAGCGGTGAATTAATTGTCGCTCGCGCCGCCGACGAAGCCGCTACGATCCGCAAGCCTGATTTGTGAGCCGCACGCGTGTATATCGTATGTGTATCTCCCCCCTGTTCGAACTCCTCCCCCTTTCTCCTTCCCCTTCTCTTTCGTTTTCTCCTTAGCTCTCTCCCACTCTTCCCTTATCCCTATTTCTTTCGTTCCCCTCTCGCTCTGCCGTCTTCGACGGCAACAAGGAGACCCGTGTAGAAGACCGCGACGATGGTGATGGAGACTGACAATGGAAACAAGCACAAAGAACGACAGAGTAAACAACCACACCACCACCACCCCACCCCCCACCTCCCACCACCCGCCGGAGAAAGAGTGATACAGGGTGGGGGGGTGGGGGGGGGGGGGGTAAACAGGAAACAAAAGTGCGGATGGCGAGCAGAAAAACGAGGAAAAAGTATATAAATCGTGGAAGAGAAAGAATCGTCAGCATCCATCGAAGGGAGAAAGAGCGAAGTACCAGAAACTGAAAGATGCTACGAAAAATGCACCGACCGCGAGTCCCCCCCCCCCCCCATATCCCTCCCTAAAACCTCTACCCCTCTCCCCG